TTTTAGTAGAGACAGGGTTTCTCCATGTTGGTCAGGCTAGTCTCAAACTCCCGACCTCAGGTGATCCACCCGCCTCGGCCTCCCAAAGTGCTGGGATTACAGGTGTGAGCCACCATGCTCAGCTGGTCTCTTTCTTAAAAGAAAATTTATTACTATCAACATCGGTGGAAAGCCCATTCGCAGCAGAAGCGGCAGAAACGGCGTGTGTTTTATAACCCTCTGCTTACACCTGTAAACCGTACACTTTGGGTTGTGTTTTTTTGTGTTTACCTTGGGCTACATTTCATACACATCACGTTACGTTGTGTTGTAGCTCTCTGATGGTGATGGTTAGATCTTTAAAGGAAATGAAATGAGACCCCAGAGACTTACTGAGTGGTAGCACTGTGGGCCTGGAGCTGCCTCTGGGCCCCTGGCAGGGTCACCCTGCGGGGAGACGCCTAGGTGGTGGTGAGGGGAGCTGTGCACAACTGCCATGGCCTGAGTGGCCCTGACAGAACCGTGGGGTGCACCTGCCCTGAGCCTGGTGCCTGAGCATTATGGAGGCCGCATCTGCGTGGCCTGATTGGCCCTGACAACACCATGGGATACGCCTGCCCCGAGCCTGGTGCCTGAGCATTATGGAGGCCGCGTCTGACACCAGCTTGGGAGTTTGCTCCAAGTCAGATGCGGACCCTGCCCAGGCTGCACCCAGTGCTGCCTCCTCTTTCCCCCTTCCCAGGCCTCAGCTTTCTCATCTGCGAAGGGCAGACCCTGACAGTTCTCACCCTGTAGAGCGGCGTGTGGATTAAATGGAATTGTGTGTGTAAATCACTCAGCTTGGTGCACACTGAGGCCTCAGTAGAGATTAGCTGTGCTTGGTTGCATCACGCCGTGGCACATGTGGCTTCCCTAAACGATCATCTCACCGCGTGAGGCCCAGAGAACTTCATAGATGAGAACATGCTTCATTTTTCTACTTTTCCTGTAACGACATGTGTTTATTGCAAATGCGTTTAGTTGGTCAGTGTGTGTTGCTGGCTGATTTCACTGTGTGTTTCTTTTTAAAGTGTGAACGAATTCCCTGTGTTTCCTGTTGACAGGGCATCCAGTACCTGACTGCACTGGAGAGTCTCAGTGTCTACTACAACTGCATCTCCTCTTTGGCAGAGGTGTTTCGGCTCCACGCCCTAACCGAGCTCGTGGACGTGGACTTCCGGCTGAACCCCGTGGTGAAGGTGGAGCCTGACTACCGCCTGTTTGTTGTGCACCTGCTCCCCAAGCTCCGGCAGCTGGGTAGGCGTTAGGCAGGGCCGTGCGCATGCTTCCGCCCCGCGGGGTGTGGGAGTCGTCGTGGGTGTCTGTGTGCTCAGCGTCACGCGCTTGGTTCCTCCTGGAACCAGGAGTTGGTTTTCTACGTGGATGGCTTGAGTTCCTGCAGACACACGGCTCTAGTGGCCCTGTGTCTGGACAGGACAGGACTGGAAGGTGAGCGGCCTGGGAAGGCGCAGAGCTGGGGCCGTGGGAGCACAGCCCTGGACCAGGCTGCTCTGTCCTGTTCCGGCGCTCCACGTCTTGGCTGTTGGACTTGGGCACGTTCCGAACATCTCCTGTCCTGTTCCCTCGCATAGCCGCCAGGCATCACCTCAGGTGCAGCTAAACAGCAGGACGCTGCCTGGTTCTGTCCCAGGACCCAGGAAGCACACAGGACAAGCAGCTCATTGTCCCCCACACCTGCCGCTGGGACAGGGTCGGGAGGGGACCTGAAAGAAAAGGGTTTCCGTGACAGTCTTGTAGGCAGAACTTCCAGGGCCCCCACAGCTGTGCCCAGTAGGGAGGGTCTCTGGGTTGGGGCAGCTGCAGGTCACCTTCCCGTCTGCCTCCTGCCTCCCCGGAGGTATCGTTGCTGTTGCTGTGAGCACCTGGTGGTGTCTCTGCTGACCCTACCCCGAGTCACAGATCCAGGAGAGAGAGCTGGGGCCTCAGCCCAGGGGCACACTCCAGAGTCTGTGGGGGAAGAAGAGGATGCAGGGTCTGTTACCTCAGTCCTCCTGTGTGAAGTGGGGGGATAAGAATGCCATGTGGACATGTCGTGGTGGGGAGACCTGAGTTCATATCTGTAAGCTCCCAGACTGCCCGGCATGGCCAGGGGCCTATAAACGTTCACTGGTTATTTCTGTTGTT